TCCTGCTGACTCCTGCCTCATTCATTACACAAATATACTCCAGGTGCCAGTCTAATTCATTATGGGTGAGAGGTTTCAAATGGGCCTACGGGGTCCCCAGGTCCTCGGTCTGGGTTCTGTTCCTTCTTCTGCCTCAGACTTTTGTGAACCGAGATCATATTTGACCAGATTTGACCATAGTTTCGGCCAGATTTTTAGAGGCCCTAAGTACACACTGCTCTGTTGGGCTTCCATGAGCCAACACTTCTGAAAATCAAGTAATCAATCTCCAGGTATTCCAGATGTAAAAGTAGTTTCAGAAGTATTATGAGAAAAAATCCAGTAATGGCTGTTAGGCAATCAGATGAGTGCTACTGAAAAACCAATACACGATTAAAAAAATATTATTTAAGGAAAGCTTTGGAAAGTGTGAGGTGCATGAAATGTGAGGCCATATGCTGAATGATGTGAATAAAAATGAATATTAAACAGCTCCCTCGTTCACCGATAATTTTCTCTCCTCCTCAGCAACTGAGGCAGGGGTCCCGTGCTACACTTTGCAACCCAATTCTTTTAATAACTGAGTTATGTCTGCATATACATATAATTCTACACAAAAGAGATATTGTACATTAATGCTAGTTTCTTTCATTGGCATTTAACAGTATTACCTAAATGGCATGCTCTATTAACATCCAGATACTACAAGAATTTAAATTATGTAATAAAGGGTTTTACATTTTTCTGAATCCCTTCTGAGAGTTTTATTCAACACTCATTGCACACCTTAAACTTCCATGCACGTAATGGGATAAGCAGTAAATGCAGGATTGGGCCTTACAATAATTTTAAAAAGCCTGATATCTTGTTCTAAAAAAAAAAAAAAAAGTCAGTTTTGCAGATATGTAATGGCTCATTAGCAGGAGACAATGAACTGAGGGAGAATGTGTTTTTCCTGTAAGCATTAGGATCAACCTGTAAGTAATGGCTATTGGCTTTGCAACTAGGGTTACCAGATGGTTTCAACAAAAATACCGGATACACTTGACATTACATCACAATCTACATTACATCTTATTTAGAAAATACCAGACATTTATATTTTCTCAATTTTTTTCCCCAAACAGAAAGCTCAAATACTGGACTGTCTGGTTCAAAACCAGACACCTGGCAACCCTATTTGCAACAACCTGTGGCCATGTCACCTGATGCTGGAATCCATTTTGGATTCTGTACTTTTCCACAGACAGAAGGAGGAGGATAAGGTTTTGGGAGAAAAAGGATTCATGCTTTAGGCAAATCCTATTTAAGGGTGGGAAGTGAAATAATTTAGGTAATCAGTTCTGACTGCTGGAAACAACTAAGGTTGAATTGGGGGAAGGAACTGGGCCCAGCCTAGAAAGATGTCTGGCCAGTGAAGAACATTATGAGAACCAGATTTTGGGTGAGATCTTATATGTAACTAGTTTAGTTAGTGTATTAAACTTAGCTTGCATGCTCATTTTGCTCAGTTACATACTTGTTCTGTTTGCTGCTTCTTATGACCATTTTAATCTTATCTTTTTATGCTTAATAAAATCATTCTTATTTAATAATAAACCCAGTGCAAGTAATTACTACCTGGAGGAGCAAGAAGTCTGTGAAAATATCTCTTTACATTGAGAAAGAGGGCAAATTTCATGAGCTCACACTGTATAGATCTCTATACAGTGTAAGATGGGTTTTTCTAGAGTTCATCTCCCAGAGGGGCTGTGTACATGAATGCTTGGAAAAGGTCTCTTGCTGCATTGCTTTCAGTCTGTTTCTGCAGCCTTGGGGGTGTGGCCCTGTCCATAAATCTCAGTAGGATCAGGCTGGAGAGCTGAATTCAGTAAGACAGGATTGCAGGATGCCCAGGCTCTTTATAGGGAAAGCAGACTCAGTGATGTCTCAACAAATGAAATAACAGTCCCAAAGGGGTAGGTGACCTATCACCATTCAGTATTACATAACAGATTAATCAATTATATTGACAATTTTTTGTCCGGTATGCTGTAGTTTTATGATTCATATCTGTATATCAACAGTGTGTGACTATGTGAGAGAGCGAGAAAGAGAAAAAGAGAGGGAGGGAGAGAGAGAGAGAGAGAAGAGAGAGAAATAAATATTTGGTGCTGGTTTGCTTTTCTTAAAAAAATGTAAATGTCCCATTATATGCTTGAAGAAGATGCCTTTAAGTCCTTTTTGAGATTCAAACAAAATTTTAGCAAGAGAAAAGCACTTAGATAAATTTGATTGTTTTCAGAAAATGTATTTAAATAATAAATTTAAAAGCTTGATGAAAACATTATTTTCTTCCTCCTATCACAAGAGATAAAAATATTAAGCCCACAAAATATGTAGTCTGAATACTAAGATTTTTCTGCCTGGTATTTTTGTGGGAAGAAAAGAGAGGGGGTTGTCTTACTTAGCTGCATCAATGCCTTCTGCACTTTGTATCAGTCAATTTTTCAAGTCACAAATACAGTATAAATTTTTTACCATTCCCAATAAAATTTAAAGATTTAGCACTGAAGTAAAACACTTTATCCATAAAAGACAACTCTACAAATTAGTTCCACCTACCTGTGCTAGTGCGATATGTGCCTGTATGTGCTGGTTGTAGAGGGTCCCCCTGACTCTGGCTGAGACTCCTCATAGGGGGCTTCTGATACACTCTGTCTTCGTAAATCGGATCTATATGGTGCTCTGGAGACTGCAGTGCCCTTAATTCAGAGCCAAGGTGGCTGTGCTGGCTGCTGTAAGATGCCCGAGACCCAGCTGTGAACAGATTCATAAAGAAAATTTAAAGAGAGAAAATCTCACATAAAGCAGGATCTAATCTGATGAAAAGCGTATTTGAAGACAACTCTTGTTTTAACAAAAACAAAACAAAGAATTTTTTAAATGCAAAGAAAATCAACATGAAATGGCACCAGTGACTCAAGTTAATCGTCTTATCGGCATGGCCCAACTGTCTGCTTTTGCTTCAAACCCTGATTTCCTCAAAAGGCGGAAGATATTTCAGAGATACATAACTACTGTGCAAGGCCAATAAAATATTTTTTTCATACAGAGACTAACAAACATAGCTAGCTGCCTTATCCAGAGGAACCCTATTGAAGGTTTCAACTGCCAAATCAGAAATTGGAGGAGGAAAGCCAGAACTAGCCTATGTACTACATCCACGTGGTAAATTTACAAATGAAATAAGTTAAATCTGATGAATAAATGTGTTGTTCACAACATCAAAGCAGACCTTCTGACTGATTTATTTGAAGTATGATGGAGCAGTTATACCTCATCAGCACTTTTGTCTTAGACTGTGTAGAAACCAGACGGTTAGGACTTTTCAAAGCTTAAATCCTCAAGGGAATTAATATATTAAGCATATCTTCAGAAAAAATATTTTAAAAAGGCATAGTTACTATAAAATCTCTTTTTAAAAGACGAATCTACATCTTTACAGGGCAAAGAAAATGATTCCTATCTTCTTATTCTAATAATAAAAAATAATATTTTACTATCAGGTTATTAACAGATAGACTTGTACATTTCCAGGTTTGGCAACTAGCTTAAACATTTGTTTCATTTTTTTACATAAGTATCTTAGTTATGTTTTTCTGCTTTATGATCTATTTGTAAGGATAAGACTGGGGAAAGCCACACAAAGGTCTCAAATGTGATGGCAGAAGTACATAGTATTCTCATTTTACTAAATATTATAATGCAAGGCACAGAACAAACAGTGGCTAGGTCTGAGGTGAAAGCACATTCTCAGAGTTGGGAAGCTGTTGAAGGTTTTGAGATAGTACAGAACAGTTTTTTAAGAGGAGGGAAAGAATTAGTCCAGTTTCCATCTTTACAGGTAAATAATTGATTCTGCTTATAGCTTGCTCGTGTATGCCCACATCCCCTCCCATCCCACCATAATCTATACAAGTACATGATTTAAGAGCACCACTGTATTACACAATGCCCTTTGAAGAGGAGAGAGAAGAAAAAAGAAAAAGAAGAAAGATTATCAATAAATCCAGTATGTGATTTGGAATTATCACAGCCATTAACAAAAACTCATGTTACTCTCTGCTGTTCTAGATACCTTGCCAAGTATTCCAAAGATGTCTTTATTTGCAATTACTGTAGGTATCAGGAAATGGTCATGATTATCGCAGATATAAAAAAACAGCAGTGCATTGTGGGCCAAATTTTCAAGTCTTTGAACCTGATTCTCAAATGGGCATAATGTCTCCAGAAAGGCTCACTATTTTCCTGGATTGGATATGAAAATAGTAACCTGCTTTTGTATGAACAGCTTTCCTTTCATTTAATTCCATTTTTGTGTAAAAAAATGTGAAAAACTGAGAAGCCACTTAAAAACTTTCCCACTACAAGTCTTTTGGTAAGAAAGAATGTGATCTATGAATGAAATAAATTAACTATAGAAGAATTTTAAATGGTGTCCTTTACTTAATAACTACTGGCTTTCTTTGGCTAATTGCCAGATGAATCCTGCTGTTGAGAGTGATGTGATGGATTCATCTTCAAGTCCTGCTCCCACTGAAATCACTGGGAACTTTTCCATTGACTTGAGTGGCAGCATATCTTAATCCTTTGAATACATATTTATATGATTATGCTACTAATTTCAACTCCTCTTTTGTATAACACTGAAGATTTTCTTTTGAGAACTCAAGTCCTGATTCTATAATCACTTACATACTTGTTTACATTTTAAAAACCACATATTCCCCATTATTATTATTTTCATTATAGCAGTACTACAGGTCCATTGTGTTACCTCTTTACTTTTGTCTTTTTTGTCTAACAACAATTTTTTTGAAGAAAATTTTCATAGGTGTTCCGCATAAAAAAAATTATTGTTTGGTGTTCTGTGGTCTCAAAAAGTTTAAGAAACACTGTCTTAACAAAACATAGAAAATACTATGTTTTAGAGGACATGGTAATAACTTGGATGGAATTCATACTTTCACATCAGTTACTTTTATTTCTCTTCATAGACTGTGAGAATATAAATAAATATAAACAGTTACATTTCATTATCTTTCCTGACAGATCTGCAGCTTTTCTATTGGGCTGTGTCCAGACTCAGGGGTTTTTTCGGGAAAAGTAGCCTTTTTCTGAAAAAACTTCACCTGCGTCTAGACTGCAGCCGCATTCTTTCGAAATTAAATCGAAAGAACGCGGCTTTTCTTTCGACGGCGGTAAACCTCATTTTACGAGGAAGAACGCCTTCTTTCGAAAGTGCTTCTTTCGAAAGAAGGCGTTCTTGAATGTAAATAGGGCTTCTTCGAAAGAGAGCATCCAGACTCACTGGGTGCTTTCTTTCGAAAAAGCGGCTTGCTCTTTCGAAAGTTCCGCGTCCATTCTAGACGCTCTCTTTCGAAAGAGGCTTGCAGTCTAGACTTAGCCTTGATGAGCTATTTCATGAAACTACAGAATAATCTGCAGGTTGAACCTCTCCAGCATGACACGCTGGGGACCTGACCAGTGCCAAAGCAGAGATTTTGTCGAACCATGAGAGGTCAGTATTGTAGTGAACAGATCTCTTTTATTTCTATTTTGCCAAGACAAATGAATGGAACAATGTACCAATGTGCCCTTTTCCAATTTCTGCAACAATTCCACATTTTTTGGAATCAATACTGTATTGACACATACTTGCACTTAGCAGCATTACCAACACTTACACTGATTGCTGGTATCTTAGGGTGCGTCTACAACACTGCACCATAACTCTAAATAAGATACGCAATTTGAGTTACGCAAATTGCCTATCTTATTTTGATGCTATTTCGAAAAAACTTATTTCATCATTTGATGCTGTCTACACAGCGCCAAACTGAGAAATAATGTGCTTTTCTGAAACATCCCTTACTCATTGTAGAATGAAGTTTACAGGGATGTCAGAATAGAGAGCCCAAAATAACGGGCTTGCTGTGAAGACACAGGATAGTTATTTTGGGATACTCTGGTATCCTGAAACAGTATTGCAGTGTAGACGTGCCCTTAAAAGACACATTTAGGAGTAAATTAGAGCTAAATAACAACACAGGACACTGAGAGCCAGGACTGGTGGCTGTAAACAAACATTGCCAATCTGTGGAAAACTTGGCCCAGTCACAGTATGTGGATATCTGGGTATCTAAAAAGCCACACCATGGATGTTGCTGGACCAGAGAACTGGACTAGCGAGTTTTAACCAGTATTGTATATTTGGGAGAGTTTGTCTCTTTGTGAGTCTGTCTGTCTATTCAACTTCTCCTAAACAGTGAGAACTAGGACCACCAAATTTCGTATTCAGCTTCCTTTAATCATAACACAAAGCAAGATACGGGTTTGCCCACCATCTACCATCTCCCTGATGCATACAGGGGTGCATCAAATAATACAGTAAAAAGAATTGCCTAGAAGGTGAAAGGGACTGGCTGGAGGTGCACCTACCCTCCTGTCCAGGTCTGCTCCAAACCTTCCCCCCTCCAGGTGCCTTTAGGGAGGGTGGGAAGAATGCAGCTCTCCCCCATTCATACAGGACCATTGCTGCTGTTCCCCTTCATCAGGGAGCAAGGGAAAAGTGCCCAACTTGCTCGCTTCTTCAATCTGGAAGGGAAGTGCAGGAGGTAAATGAACCTGGCCCTGGCCCACTGAGAGGCACGCACTCCACCCACAATTGTGCCTGCTGGAGCTACAGCAGCCATGGAGAGGCACCTCTCGTTTAGCCCCAAACTACTGCAGTTAGAGGAGGCTGGGGTAATCCTCTCTCCCAGGGGCAGCCTGCATACTGACCCCTGCCCCAATGCACAACATCAAAAAATGTGTTCTTGCAACTGATATAACCCTTTAACATGTGCAACATGAAACATTATTCAGTCCTATATGGGTTGAAGTGTGATTTTGCCACTTTCACTCCAAATAATCAAGTGCCAATATTTTAACAGGAAATCATGTAAATTAGCTGCACAGACTGACTCATGATCTTTTCACAAAATACTTTTTTGCTGTGAGACAAAAAAAGCAGATCATTCATTTCAGCAATTTAAAAGCTTTGCAAAAGGACATTTTTAGAGAGAAAGGGAAAATATGCTAATATTTCTATAATTGTTGGCCTATTATCATTGTCATTATCCAGCTCCTATTTTCACGTTTTGTTTTGTTTCTTAATTTAAAATTCCTCTCTTTTCTCCGCAAGCATTGCAATTCTGACCCAGATTTAAGTTGTCAAACAAATTCTAAGGATGGGAACAACACAGTTTTATTGCATATTTTACTTTAAATTTGCCACACACAAAAATCAGATGCTATTGGAACAGGAAAAACAGACTCTAATTTCTGAAGCTTGCGTTCTACTCATTAAGAATTTTAAATGCATAAATTTTAGAGAAGCTGAGAGATACTGCAGGTGGCTCAGCATCTCTGAAAATCAGCTCCCAGATTTTGATATTGTATTTCTGGAGACATTTAGGACCAAAATACTCCCCTCAGAACATGGACACATAAAAAACTTGAGATTTCTTTATCACTAAGTTTCTATTACCTGCACCAATCTAGTGGGGTGGATTTCAGGTTGTGCAGAACCTCTTAAATCAAAGTGCTCAATGACCTAGAAGCAAATCCCATAGATTCATTCACACAGGGGGACATCCCCCTCCACAGTGCTCCCCTCTTCCTCAAAGCACAGCAGCATTTATTAAACATATTTCTGGATTGCAAGAGGTTGTTGTCAATCAATGGTACAGAGTTAACACTTCCAATCAGAGTCA